ACTTTAGGAAAATGTGGACAGATTGGAGTGAGTCCAGAAGAGAGCAACACAAATGATAAAAGGTTCAGAAAACCTGATCTATGAGGAAAATTAAAAAAAAAAAAACCTAGGCAGCTTTAGTCTTGAGGAAGAAAAAAAGAGTGTGTGACAACCTGATAATAGTTTTCAAATATGTTAGGGACTGTTACAAAGAAAAGAGTGATCAATTGTTCTCCAGTGACAGTAGGAAAAGAAGTGATCAGTTTAATCAGCAACAAGGGAGATTTAGGTTGGATATTTGGAAAAAGCTTTCTTAATATATGGATAGTTAAGCTCTGGAACAGGCATCCATGGGAGGCCGTGGAATCCCATCACCGGAGGTTTATAAGAGCAAGTTACACAAACAAATGTCAGTTGTTGTCTAGATTTACTTAATGCTATCTCAGGGCTGAGGGATGGACTAGATGACCTCTTGAGTCCCTTCCAGCCTGGCACTTCTATGATTCTGTAGATAGGATCCTACTAATTAGCAGCATGGTGAAATTCTCTTATAAATGTTTGCAGGTATGGAACATGTATTACCCTTACCAGGTATGCAAATGTAGCATTAGCTCATGGAACATTTTTTTATGAAAGAAAGGGCTGATCCTTTAGAATTATGAATTCATATTGAATAAAGGAGGCCTCTAGCTATATGTCTACACTATGTTTTAAAACCTGCAGCAGTGGATCTTAAGGTCTGGGCCTAGAGACTCAGGCTTGTGGGCTCATCCTCAGATGCAAAAAACAGCAGAGTAGTCACTCAAGCTTGAGCTGGAGTGGGTTGGTTTCAGAGCTGGAGCACCAGTCCAAGTCACAGCATCTATACTTCTATTTTTAGTGCTGTTGCATGGGCCAGAGTCAATGGAGCCAGGCTCTGAGACTTGCTGCCAGAGGTACAGGGGAGCCAACAGGACTGCCAGGCCCCTGGGCAATGTATGTGTGGGAGGGTACCTGGCTCTGTACTTCTGAAAGGAGCGGGGTCTCAGGTGGAAAAGGTGGGACTGGGGCAGCGAAGCTCAGTGTGCTGCCTGGATGTTGTGGCGTGCACACCCTTGGCCCTCTAAAGTGGCTGGAGAGCGCTGCACAGTAACGATGGCAACTGAGCGCCCTGGGCTCTTTAGAATCATTAGGCCCCAGGGCAATTGCACCATGTTCTCCCGCACCCCCCCACTATTGGAGGGTCTGTGCAGGTATTATGAAGTATTGCACATGTGCCCTTAGATTGTATTTCACAGAGGGGAGGGGAAGAAAGGAGTCAAAATCTGGAGAACACAATTTCTTGTTTGCTACTGAGCCTTTTTATGTCATTGTTACCAGCAATTTTTCCCTACCAGTCTTACCTGAACATATATGAAACTTCTTTTTACAGGCTTGAAGTTAAAACATTTTCCAAAATGTACAAACAAACAGTAATTTCATTGCACTGCTGTCTGTGTATAGTGAAATAAAATGTGATTAGCTAGCTGAAAATGTGTAACTTTTCAATCAGTAGTTAATTCAGTCCCAGAACCACATTCATATAGGTTTGAAACAAAATTGACCTTCTTGTTTATGTAATCTGTATGTACAATAAGTGCTTGATTCAGTAACAAGCTACTCAACAATGTGGATTTTCTGCAAGACTCAGTAAAAGAAGCAAAATCCAGTGGTTTATTTAATGAATAAAGCCATCACCTGTGCACTACTGATGAGCTGAGGTTTCCACAAGTGGGAAAGGGGCAAAATTAGCTTCAGAGAAAAATTCTGCTCAAGCTTCCATGGTATTTAGGACCAAATTTTGTTAGAGCAGGGCTGGGCAACATACCCTGCCAAACTGCCAGATCTGGTCTGCAGAAGCATTGGAGAGTCTCAAGCAGGCTCCTTGTCTGCCCTGCTCCTTCCCCTGCCCTCTCCCCCTCCCTTGCAGCTCCTGTTCATGACCATTTATAACCCCTATGTGCTTCTCCCATAAGGGGCTGCTGGGTGCTGTTTATCTTTGAACAGCTGCAAGCCTGGGGGCAGGTAGAGGCTTAACATGCTGCCTCCGCACTCAGCACAATCCCATTGACTGGTTTCCAGCCAATGGGAGATGCCTGTTCAGTACATGAAGTCACCCTCCCCTCCGCCTTGTAGCCATTTACAGATGCATGTGGCTTCTGCCATGGCTGAGAAATGTGTGGGGCTGCTAGCCAGGAGTCACCTGAGTAAGTCTCCAAGCCAGAGCCTGCCTCTGGGACCCCAGCTCCCCCTACCCTCTGCCCTTCCATTCCTACCCCACATAACACAAACCCTCTGCCTCTCTCCTGCACCCATGCCCCCTCCCAGACCTCAGTTGCTTGCCCTAGGTCACAACCCCTTCCTGCCACAAAACCCAAATGTCTGCACCCTCTCCAAACCCAAACTCCCTCCTAGATACCACACCCCCTCTTACACACCAAGCTCCCTTCTGCACCCAATCTCCATCCTCGACCCCACACCTCCTCCGTTAATATCATGGAAGAGTGCAGTCCTTGACCAGTTTCCAAATTCTTGGAGTGGCCTCCCATCAAAAATTATTTCCCACCCCATGGTAGAGCCAAGGGAGGGTAGCTGAGCTGGGTGGTGAGTGAATATACAA